GAAGAGACTATCTAGTAAAATATTATTTACTGTCATCATGGCAAAGATAAAATAAATAAATTATTATAAATGAGTTATTCAAACTATTGTTTAGAAATGTGTTGAAAAAATATCTTCTCTCCGATAAACAGAAATTGGAGAAAAAACAAACAGGGGTGCGAATAATTTTGACTTCTACTGCATATAATAATGTTTGTAAACCATATGCTTTATAAACCATAAATGTACACTTCATTACTTCATACGTAAAAATGCATTTGCCCTCATAAACTTTAATCAAATACCATAACCGTCCCTCTTGAAACAACTTTTCCTCACTTCTCGTCACATACCTTTAGGAACACCTTTCTCGATTCTGCTTTGAATTCATCAATTCATCTATCTTCCTTCATTTTGTTAGCAACACCTGTTTTTCAACAATCCAACTGATTCCCAAGTAATGAAATCATGCACTGCTCAACTTTTTTCTCATTTCAGGACCATTACCGTCACGATATCGGTAAAAAAAGACAATCTTAACTTAAGTATCATTGCAATTATACGATTTTTCAGATGTGCGCACACATTTACTTTCATTCAATTCTGAGTGATCAAAACCAAAAATGAATGTGAGAATCCACTGAATACTTAATCAGATGTCAAATACACCCATTAATGAATGGACAAATATGAAGCTAATAAATTAAAAAAGGTTAAACTTTCCTGGTTATAGTGCAACCATTTTCAATTATAAAAAAAAACATGTGCTATTCTGATCAATCACCATTTTCTGGACAATAAAACAAACAAAAATAGATCTAGATGACAGTGCTTTTATTTGAAATTTGAAAGAAATCTTATCAGAATTTTATAGAATAATATAATAATTCGCCAGCAGCTAGCTCTCTGCAACTCTCACATGGTCACCCATGTGAAGCTGCAGGGATGCGCCCAGTTAGTACCTGAATGAGAGACCACATGGTAAAGATAGGGCCAGCAGAGGACGCTCAACCTGCAGTCTGTGTGGGTCTTAACGCCCCAGTGTAGTGATGGGGACTCTATACTGCTTAGTGAGCTTCGTTTTTTGAATGAGGTGTTAAATCGAGGTCCTGACTCTTTGTGGTCGTTAAAAATCCAAATTAAACTTCTTCAAATTTGCCCACTGGCCTCTGTCCATCATGGGTTCCTGACCATCCCCATACCATAATCGGCTTCATCACTCTTTTTACTCTACACCAATCCGCTGGTGTGTGGTGTGCGGTCTGGTGGAATATGGCTGTCGTTGCGTCATGCAGGAGGATGCTGCAAACTGATGGGGAATGAGGAGATTGCCCCCAAAAAGAAATAAAGCACTTTGAGTGTCCAGAAAAACGCTATATAAATGTAGGAATTATTATTATTATTATTATTATTAACAAATATCAAAAAATGTTCTCAAACCCATATCTAATACCTTTAGAGAAACTTTTTTTTTCTAATAACAGTACAAGTAGGGCTTCAAAAATATGAAGGGTTGTAAACTACATTAAACAGTGTTAAGAGTGAACATCTGCTTTGGTTTAAAGGGCAGCAGGTGGAAGCACTCTGTCATTACAGCGAAAAATGTGAATCACAAAAAAGCATCTGAAATGGATTGGAAAAGCCAGTAAGAGAGTAATTTGGCCCTTTTCCTTTGGTATGTTGAGCAGGAGAAGGAAAAGAAGTGGAAAATATGATCTTTTCTTCAGCAGAATTTTAAACCACCGGGTCTGAACACAGCGGCACAAAAGCAGGTGGTGAAAACACAAGCATCCAGCAATACTAATTCTGAGAGGAAATCCAGCAGTGTGTTGATTGACAGTCTGTGTGTGTGTGTGTACATGTGTGTGACAGATCAGACTAGACCCTGTTCAACTTTAAATGACTGTTTTTTTTGGAAGAAATGTTATCAAAGTCCCTTTTAAGGAAGTCATTTTTACTCGGCTGGCATCTTTGAAACGCCTCTTGGGCAGTATGCTTAGGCATTCTGTCTGAATGGGGAAACATCATGTTCTCCAAAATTTGTTGCCAAGCTTATGATTAAATTTCATATTAGGAATCACCATTAAAATTAAACAACAGCTGTCTCTTTAGTCGCATTTTTAAACATTCGAATCACACAAAATCTGCCGAACCTTACGTTTGGTCCAAGCTTCTCCCACTGAGAATTGTCACTCTATAGCAATCGATGATTGGCTCCTGCACTAGAAGGGGGGGGCTTCATTCAACATACTGACCATTGCCAAGTCCCTTTAAGGCAAGTCATTTAACTCTGCAGCCATCTTTAAAACGCCTCTCGGGCAGTATGTTCGGACATTCTGTCTGAATGGGGGAACATCAATATTTCCAAAATTCCTTGCCAACCTACAATTGAATTTTATATTAGGAATCACCAATAAAATTAAACAACAGCTGTCTCTTTAGTTTTATTTCTAAACATTCAAATACAGAAACTCACGTCTGGTTCAAGCCCCTCCCCTGGAGAGACATCAGTCTATAGTGATCGATGATTGGCTCCTGTACTAGTAGGTGGGGCTTCATTCGCCATATTGACCATTACATGTATATTGTGTATTCTATAGTCTTTAATGTTATCAGACATTTCTAGAATAATATAATAACAAATATAACAAAATGTTCTCAAACCCATATCTATTACATTTAGAGGAAATGACAATTATCAAGTGGTCTTCAAGTTTGTTTCTAGACAGGACCTGTGTCCCAAATCGCATATGTATGCACTATTTAACTCCACTTTGTAATATAAATAGTGTAAACAGTGCATTCACACTGAAAACTGTAAAAGTAATGAGTGCACTTTAATTACCCGGATGATGCACTCATTCAGCCGGTAAAATGAAGTGTGTAATGATGGACACTTCAAGCACTTAACAACCGCAGGTTTGCTCACGTAGCGGAAGGGGCAGAGCTATCAGGCGCACATGTTGTATAACTTTATTTATTTTGGATTGAGAAAGCAAAATTCTCCCACGAAAGTGATTATAGTGCCTCCCGATGGTAAATGAGTTCATACTCATGACAGCTATTATTAAATAGTTTAGTCATTTATTTCACTGATTTAGCAACCGTCAAACGTCATCAGGGAAACGGTTTGAATTTCCGCTTAGTAAAAAAAAAAAATTAGTGTGCCATTTGGGACAACACTACATACATATACTATGCTGTTGAGTGTGTAAGTGCATAAGTACATAGTGCATAAGTGCATAGTGCATAATGTGCCATTTGAGACGCAGCTAGTGTCAAGGCACCTTTAAGGCAAGTCATTTAATTCAGCAGCCATCTTTGAAAGGCCTCTCGGGCTGTATACTCAGGCATTCTGTCTGAATCACTCTGGCATTCTGTCTGTAAGCCAAGGTTACGAATACATTACATATTTAGAATCACCAATAATAATAAACAACGACTGTCGCTTAATTTTCATTTGTAAACAAAATTAGCATTTTTCCAGGTTGCCCAAGCTTTTGCGGAAGGGAACAAGATCACGACAACAACCTCATTTATGGCCGCTCTACACAATATCATCCTCTGGATAATGATTGTCAGATTGCTCTGCTCTTCTGACGTAATCCACAACTTGGTCTTGATGGCGAATCTCCTTCAGAAATGCCAGCGACTCTTTGTTTACAAGTTTGTGGGCATTTGAGTAGCTGCTGCTGTCATGTGATGCGTTTGACAGGACAGACTGTACCTCATGTTCGTTTCATACAGATTACAAAACCAAAAGCTTTTGTTTTCAAGTGTAGTGGGTTCATGTAAAAGTGCAGATTTCAAGCTTTATGTGGACATTTTCCTATGTCTGTGAAGCAAGTATTCGCTGAGATTCCAGTGTGTTTGTTGCCCACCAAACTGTCATAAAAGCACACGTCTGATCTGAGCTTTTCCCATGGAGAAACTTCAGTCTATAGCGATCAATGATTGGCTCCTGTACTAGTAGAAGGGGCTTCGTTCGCCATAATGACCATTACCAAAGACTAGAATGCACGAGACACGTCTCATATAGTTTTGAATGGGAAAAAGTGTAACAAGCAATATAACGAATGAAGCCCCACCAACAAGTTCAAGAGCCATTTATTGATCACTGTAGAGCAGGGATCATAAAACTTGTTTCTAGAGATCCGGTGTCCTGCAGATTTTAGCTCAAACACACAAGCTAATCAAGGTCTTACTAGGTATACTTGAAACACCCAGGCAGTTGTGTTGAGGCAAAATGGAGCTAAACCCTGCAGGGCACTGGACCTCCAGGAACGAGACTGATGACTATAGAGTGACGACTCTCCAGGGGAGAAATTCGGATTAGACATGTGCTTTTTGGTCAACAAATGCACTTGAATCTCAGCAAATGTCTGCTTCACAGATATAAGAAGTGGATCCACATAAAGCTTGAAATCTGTGCTTTTACATTTACCAAGAACTCTTGAAAACAAAAGTTTTCTGGTTTTGTAATCTGTATGAAAGGAACTCGAGGTACAGTCTGTCCTGTCAAATGCACATCACTTGACAGCACCAAAATTGTAAACAAAGAGTTGCCGTCATATTTGGAGGAGACTCACCATCAAGACCAAGTTGTGTATTACTTCAGAAGAGCAGGGTGATCAGACGATCACGTCAGTTGTAACACAGCCATAAATGAGGTTGGTGTCATGATCTTGTTTCTTTCAAGTGTACATGCGCATTAGCTTGCCATAAAAATAGGCCGATTTTGTTTAATTCAGATGTTTAGAAATGAAACCTATGAGACAGTTGTTGTTTAGGTTTATGGTGATTTTAAATCTGTAATGTAATCGTAAGCTCGGCAAACAGTTTCAAAGACAGTCGTGGTGAGAAATTACTTGCCTTAAAGGGACTTTGCTGTTACACCTTTTCCCATTTAAAACTATACGAGTGACATGTCTATGTCTACGTGTATTCTATAGTCTTTGACCGTGTTCCGCTCTAAATAACTGTTTTCATTTGAAATTTGGAAGAAATGTTTTCTAGACATGTTCAGCTATAAATGACAGTGTTTTTATTTGAAATTGGGAATAAATGCTCAGACCTTTCTATAATATAATAACAAAAATCACAAAATGTTCTCAAACACATATCTAATACATTTAGAGGAACTGACAACTTCCATGTGTTTTTTTTTTTTTTCTAGAGCGTGTTGAGCTCAGCCTGGCACTCGCTCAGTCTCCTCTGCACTTGATTAGTCAGGGCATGTGCCGCCCCATGGGTCACTGACATGATACTGTAGGCCTGCGGAGCACAAGAGAGACCTTGATTTGAGTTAAATTGTTGTTACAGAGATATAAAAACTCATTTACAGGTTTGAAACGTGAGCTGGGAGAGTCCAGACAGTCGTGATGTTACTGTGGGATTACAGCAAAGTGTGTGACGGGGTTCGTTTTAATGGAAGTGATGTGGCATATATTAATAGTCTTTCATAATGAATAAAAGGTCAAATTAAAGATACAATTTATTTCTATTCTATTCTTTTATATAACACTATTATATTATATTATATTATATTACTGTATATTATATTACTGTATATTATATTATATTATATTATATTATATTATATTATATTCTCCTCTCCACCAATCAGCTGGTGTGTGGTCTGGCCCTTCCAGCTGCAACCCAGTACTGGGAAACACCCATACACTTTCGCATTCACGCACATACACTACGGCCAATTTAGCTTACTCAATTCACCTATAGCGCATGTCTTTGGACTGTGGGGGAAACTGAGGAAACCCACGCGAACATGTGAAGAACATGCAAACTTCACACAGAAACACCAACTGGCCCAGCCGGGGCTCGAACTAGCGACCTTCTGGCTGTGAAGCGACAGTGCGATAAGCCTTACATTATATTATAATCAAAGTATTGGGGCCTTTTACTATATTTATGCAGGGTTTTCATACATAAGGCATTATTATTTATGGTCATGAATTAAGCATAAAGCATTTTTTGCAATTTTATATTGGAGCATTTTTTGCAAATTTTTTATTGATCATAGTTGTTATAACACCAATGAAGACTGTTTTTTTTGGCCCACATTTTTTAAAATAAAAAAAATAAAAAAATAAATTAAATAAAATAAATAAAAAAGTTAAATCCTGAATTAAAAAAAATATAATTAAATTTAAATTAAACAAATTTAATCAAAGAAAAATAAAAAGTTAAATAATGAAATTAAATAATATAAAATAAAATAAAAATAATAATCATAAAATTAAATTAAAGTACAAATAAAAAGTTAAATAATTAAAGTAAATAAAATAAAAATAACTAAAATAAAATTACATTAGAAATAAAAAGTTAAATAATGAAATAATATAAAAAAATAATTATAAAATTAAACACAATCAGAAATAAAAAGTTTAAATAAAATAAAATAAAATAAAATAAAATAAAATAAAATAAACTGACAGACTGGTGGATTCAGTGATTAGACAGGCGTCAGACAGTGGTGAGCTGAACTGCAGGCACTGAGGGCCTCATTACGCTCCTGAAGTCTCTTCTGTAGGTTAAAGGGCCAAAGAGCAGATGATAACAGACCTGAGTGAAGCTCCCACGAGCCTCTTCCAGTCGACCCAGGAAATGCTGGAGTTTCCCGACCCGCAGCAGCTCCACAGCCCTGGACGGATGAGGATCACTGAAGTACAGCCTGACGGAGGAAAAAAACATAACATTAATATTACAGCTGCAGAAGAAATGCTCACTAACGCTTACTAAAAATTAATGATTTTGATTCTGGTGCATTTTCACATGCACATCAGAGTCACTTTATTTTCATATTTTTTGACAAATTGTACATATTTTGATGTTTCCCAGTACAGCTGGAAGGGCAACCGCTGTGTAAAACATATACTGGATAAGTTGGCGGTTCATTTCGCTGTGGAATGTAATAAATCAAATAAAGTTGAAGTAATACAACTGAAGTTGAAATTGAAGTACTAAAACTGGAAAAAAAAGCTAAATTGAAATATTTACTAAAGCAAATAACAATACATACAAATAGCATATATTTATTTGCAACACTGAAAGATAAAATATTAAGAAAATTAAAATGAGTACATTTAAACAAACAATAACATTTTAATAAAGAAAATTATACAACATACTTAAAATGATTACATAAGAAAACATATGTTTTCTTTTTAATTTAAAGAACAATAAATAAATAAAATACTACATCATTCTCTCTACTACATCATAATCAGTATCGTTTTGCACAGCAGTTTTGTTTCGTGGAAACATTTAAAGTGGAAAAGAATATTTTTTTTAGGCTTTCCGAAGACTAAAATGAAGAAAACTGTTTTTTATTACAAACATTATCAAATATTAAATTAGGAAATTAGCAAATAAATATACATTAAATCAGAACCTGTACAAAAATGCTAGACCTCAATGTCATTACGTGTAAATATATGTATATATATTGATTTTATACATTTGATTTTATTATTTAACTTTTTATTTGTATTGAATTGTTTTTTATTTAAAATAAAATAAGATAAAATAAAATAAAAAGTTAAATGAAATTAAATATTATAAAAACAAAATAAAATAAATTAAATTAAAATAAAATAAAAAGTTAAACAATTAATTAAAAAAATAAATAAATAAATATATATAAAATAAAATTAACAGACAAAGCACCGATGGAAAAAATAAATTAAATAAATCAAAAAAGTTTAGCTGAAGACAGGGTGATTACAGTTAACACAAAGCATACAAAAAATAAGTGATTCATAAAATAAAATAAAATAAAATAAAATAAAATAAAATAAAATAAAATAAAATAAAATAAAATAAAATAAACCAGACTGCCAGTGGAAAAAACCTGATCACCTGATTCCATCTGCCTCAAAATAAATAAAATTTCCTTTTAGTACATTTGTATTTTTAAATTTGCTGTGTTTAGAGTGCATGAGATGAACAGTGGTAGTCCTGGCAGGAAACATGCTTACATCAGCATATATTCCAGAGGCAGGAGTGTGAGGCTGATGTTCTCTGTCAGCTGCGCAAGAAAGAAAAGCCTTTATTCCACATTTCCCATTCATCCGCACTGAGCCGAGGGCAGCGGGCCAGGCTTACGGGTGATCCTCAATGCTGAGACGGCCAAAGCAGAGACACCCTGATTGTCTGACCCTCCAAAAACCAGCCCGTAAAGTCACAAAGCCCTCTTCTGACAGCACAGAACAGCACAAGATAAGAATAAATGAGGATTTGGAGTCTTTCATCAGACTTAACATCAACTCCAGCCCCATTTTAGTTCCGTGACCTTAAAGTGCCCCAATTATGCTGTTCAAAAGGTGGCTATTTTTGGTTCTGGAGGTCTCCTACTGCAAGTCTACATCCATCCAAGGTCAAAGAATATTCGTTTTCTTATAATCTACACTGCAGCATCAGCTCTTTTCTCTCAGTGTCTGACATGGCTGGTTTAAGAATCTGGTCTCTCTAAACTCCGCCTCTATGAGAGTCTGCTGTGCTTTGATTAGTCAGATCATAGCATAGTCTGTTGTGATTGGTTGACGGCTTACATTTCAGATCTTCGTTTTAGTACACAAAAACTCCATTTATTTGCATTTTGAACTTTAAATCCTTGTAGATGTTTTACACTTAAAAAAAAAATTATATACAAAATAATTGAAAGGGATACTTCACACACAATTTTTGGGGTAATTTAATTATAAAAGCAGTTTTTTTAAATATTTAATAAAATAAAATAGTTTACATTCACAGAATTTTGATCAACTCCAGCCCCATTTTACTTCCATTACTTTAAAGTTCCTTTATAATGCTGTTTAAAAGTGGCTATTTTCGATTCTGGAGGTCTTCTTCTGCAAGTCTATATGCAAGGTTAAAAAATATTTGAATTTTTTATAATCTGCATCTTCAACTTTAAAACCTTGTAGATATTTTCAATTTACACAAGTTCATTAATTCATTAATTTTCCTTTGGCTTACTTCATTCATCAGGAGTTGGCACACCGGAATGAACCGAAAACTGTTCTAGCAAATGTTTTACACAGCTGATGCCCTTTCAGCTGCAACCCAGTACTGGGAAACACCCATACACACTCTTTCACACACATACACTATGGCCAATTCTGTTTATTCAATTTACCTATAGCGCATGTCTTTAAACTGTGGGGGAAACTGGAGCATCCAGGGGGACACCCAAGCAAACAGGGAGAACATGAAAACTCCACACAGAAATGCCAACTGATCCAGCCGGGACTCAAATCAGTGATCTTCTTGCTTTGAGGTGACAGTGTCACCCCATTTACACAAGTTAATATACAAAATAATTTAAAAGGATTAAGTTAAGTTTTCTAATATTATATGTTATATTCAGTTGAAAACTGGTAAGCACTGATAATAATAGTTGGAAAAAATAGTTGGGTGTCTACAGAGTTAAACAAGTTACATTTAAAGACTTTTTAATACCAGTTTATGTTTAATTTAAGACCACTAAAACTAACCAAAAATAAATAAATAAATAAATGCTTTGACAAATAAAACAAAGTTGAAGTATTATAAAATAAATAAATTAATAAATAAATTTACCAATGCAAATTACAAAAACACAATTACTAACATACAATTATTTGAAACTCTGAAAAATATAATGTATAAATTATATATATATATATATATATATATATATATATATATATATATATATATATATATATATATATATATATATATATATATATATATATAATTTATCTATTTATTTTTAATAGTATCAATGTTCATTATTCAATGTATAATTATTATATTCAGAAAAATGTAAACTGGTAATCATTGATAATAGCAGTTCATACTAGAATATACAACAGGGTGTCTACAGCATTCAACTTGAGACATTTTAAGACATTTTTAATACCAAACAATATTTAAGGTATATGAAAGCTGAATTCAATTCAACTTTAAGGTCTTTTATAAAGAAAACTTTATTTAAGACATCTAAACACTTTTTAAGGACCCAAGGTTACCCTGTACTTAGGGATGGCTGACGTGAAACTGAGGTTTTGACACAGTGTCGAGATTCCGAAGTGCAAGTGCACTGTCTCAAAGCATGATGTGAAACACCAAGGTCACGTCACTAAGGTGATTCGAAACATACAGGTAACACGACTAAAGTGTTTTGAAAACCACAGGTCACATGACTAAAGGGGTTTCGAAACACCAGGTCATGTGACTAAAGCAATTCATAATCACTTGAAACCTCAACTCTACAACGTGGGGTATGATTCTTCAATATGTGTAATGGTTTCTTTTCTGAAGCTGTTCCAGTGCAATACATAAAAATGACCACTGTAGAGACGGGTTTCGAAACTTCGATGCAATCGATTCGACTCATTCAGTGTTTCATGAAGCCTCACTCTGCCCACCACTACCTGTGCTATGACATGCTGGCTACTTTTTTTCCACATTCTTCAAATTATATTTAACAGAAGAAAGAAACTCAAACAGATTGAAGTGACAAGTGAAGGCAGAGTAATCAATGACAGAATTTTCATTTTTGGGTGAACTAACCCTTTAAGTATTTCCAGAATATTCATGGCAAAATGATTTAATGTTCAAATCAAACTCACATGGGGCAGCATTTTTGTTTCGTTTGAGTTCCAGCTCATAACTCAGTGAACGAAAGCTGCGTTTCATCTTCATGGCCTTGACTGACTTTCATTTAAAGGTCAAATCCTTGACGGTAAAAGCAATGATGAAGATGAGCGTTTACACTTCTTCAAAACTCTCAGGGGTTTCTGTAGAGGAGCTCAGTCATTGCCTGCACACACTTGTAATGGTGAAATATTCCTCTGCTGGGACGCCCCGTGACAGTCTTCATCAACTAGTACGGATTTTTTATAGTCATGGGTTGCAAGTCTGGTACTGTCAAGGTCAACCAATAGTAGAGATTGATGCTCTAAGCTCCTCGGGTTCGTTTTAAAGACCCTGGTGATTTTGTTAGTTGTAAAAATGTCTAGAAATATAAGACTCTTTAGATGTTACAAAAAATAGTTTCACAAGGACAAATGCTCTTAGTAAGTGAAGAAAGCTGCTGATGTGAAATGATGTTTTGTCAATATTTATAGGACTGTCGGAAAAACAAATGGTTTCGCAATATATATGTATACACACACACACACACACACATACACACATTACCTTCCAAAAGTTTGAAAGCAGTATGATTTGTTAATGTGTTAGCCTCTTAGCCAGCATCAGAACGTGGATGCACTGGGGCGCTGTGTTTTTGCACATCATTTATGAATAGATTACATCAAAAAGAACTTGAGTAATCTTGACAAACTATACATCAGTCTAAAGCTACAATCCTCAAGCAACCATTGTAGCTAGTTGTTTTTCCATGGGAAGCTCATGAAGAATGTATTTGCTAAATTTGTGTAAGTTGTTCAGAAAACTCTTATTAAATATGGAGTACACATTTAATTATTTGGAAAGATAAGAGTCCTCAGAACAACATCCCATAGAGCACATTTAGTCCACTGACACAATAGTGTTAAATTAGGAATGGTTATTAGTTTGTTTATGTCTCTGTTTCTTCTGGAGACCGATTGTTTACATTGTACCATGTTACTTGCACATGAAAATTGACGTCTTTGTAGTAAAAAGCAAGAGGAAGCTAGT